GTGTTGCATCCTTTCCCTTGAGCACAGGCATTCAATTTAGTCTATTTTCTAGGACTCCAGCTAGCCCTAGAGAAGAGATCAAACACTACCTATGGTGCCTGAATAAAGGCTTTCTTATAATGATTGTGATGTTTATGATTGTATGTTTACAAGAGGTTGTTTGAAAATCTATATGTTCATCATTGAGCATTCTCCCAAATAAAATAAGGACATACTACACCAACTAAAAGTGATATTTTGAAAAATAATATTAATGGCATGACACAAACCCAAATTACACATAATCTCAGTTCTGTTTGAAAAGAAACACATATATAACACTATGTGGAAAAATTATTGCTGGTTAATAAATTACTGTTTGTTCCTACTTTTGTATACTGTCAAGTTCGTCTGCTTTCAATATCAGATTTTGGATTATTTTAAAGTCATTTCGAAGGGTTACACTGATTTAGAACATGGCTAAACCACATATTTCGGACTGGAGTCCAATAGCACCTCTTGCAAAAATCACACTAGAGTTAAAGTTGAAAGCAATTGCTCCTTTGAAATGGCTTTGGATAAAAACCAAGGGAAGTGGAAGTAGAGGATCACTGTTTAGTTAGGAGCCTTTTAACACTACCCTAGCTTTTGAACCATGGACAGATAGTCCACCTATGAACAATACACTTGACACTAAATTTAAATATTTTTAAATAAAAAATACTTCTTAGAAATTATTTTAAAAGAGGAAAGATAGTAGGAGAAAAGAGAAGCTCTCAATGAATATTGACTTTTTAAATAAAGTATCAAAAAATAAAGGAATAATTTTATTTAAGAAGTAATTTTTGAATACCTATTAAGAGAAAGTTTCCACTAGAATCTTCCCAGGATGGTAAAGAAGAAAATCACTGATCATGCCTTTATTAGCCAACTTTCCTGTTGCTGGGGCAAAATACCCAACTCTCACAATTTAAAGGTTTAGAGGTTTATTTTGGCTCATTGTTTAGTCTACAGTTAGCTGGGCCAAGGTAAAAATGGCATACTGAAAAGTCATGGTGAAGTAAGCTACCCAGCTGATGGCAGTCAGGTAGCAGAGAGGGAAGGGAGGAGCCAAGAATAAGAACAACCCCAGCGACCCACTCCTTGAATGAGTCCCTACCTCCTAATAACATATGAATTCATCAAAGGATTAATTCACCAATGAGTATAACATCCCATGATTCAAATATTTTCTAAAAGCTCCACCTCTTAACATGAGACTTGTAGGTGACATTCTAGTTCTAAATTATAAAAATCACCTTATGGTCCTTAGAATGGTACAGAAGTCAGGGAAAGATGAAAATATGCAAAATCAAGCTTTAATTAAAAGATTATATAAATGATACATTTTTATACAATATTCAAGCATTCAAAGAAGGAAAGAACATATTGAGGGGAACTCAAAAGTTATTGTGTTAAAAATCACATTTGAAGTTGGGAGATTCTGATGACTTTGTGAAGAAGAGAAGAGAACAGAAGAGTCCCCAGTCTGAAGGCACAGCATGAGCAAAATCAGGGGGACAAAAAAATTGGGGAATAGCCTTGGTAGTTGGGTCAAATCCTAGATGTTGAATTTGTCAGGCTGAAAAGCATCTTCCATGCTTGGGATTGACAGTTACACTTCCTATAATGCAATTGACATTTAATGCAAGAAGATAGGAGATTGCAAATGCTTTTGAGTCATGGAGTAGTATGATCAGCTTTGTGCTTTATTTTTTTTTTTCATTTGTTTTTGGTGTTGGGAATGGAACCCAGGTACTCATGCAAGCTAAATAAGTGTTTTACTATGGACTGAACTATCCCCAGAGTTATGCTTTGCAAAGTGTATCATGGTAACCACTACAGGAAAAGATAAAGAGAAAATATCACAGACTATCTGGGAGTGTGCAGACAAAAAAATAGAAAAAAGGTGGAACACATGGAGAAGCAGTGTCTTTGCTCCAGTTGCTATAAAAAAACCATGCACACAGCATATACCTGTTCAAAACTCCATAGCAAATGTCCAAGAAGAAAAAGTCAAAACTATATTTTCTTTTTGGCCAACCTCAGACATAATGACAATTATTTCCCTCACTGAATTCTGTTGATTACAAGCAAGTCACTAAAGTCTGTGTACAATCACTTACAGAGGTCAGAGGACTCCCATCCCTCAATAGCATGTTTGTCAAGAAATTTCCAGATGTTTATAAATTATAACTCTGTAAGTTCTTTCTGTTTAGTTTCTCCTTTCCAAATATTTTTCCTTCGTTCGTTTTTCTGCTAATTTATTCCTCTTTTTCTTTTCCCTATATGAAGGATTCCCTTAACTTGCATAACCCAATAAGCTATTCAGTCATTACACACACACACACACACACACACACACACACACACACACACAGCTTCAATGCTTACAATGGGCCAGGATTGAACAGAGTCCTTGCCTCAAAGATCTTGAAGCCCTAGTAGAAGTCTTTGCTCAACAGGGCAACTTTTGGGGTGGCAGGATTTTGACCAGGTTATTAGGAGGAATTTTATACATCAGTTAATTATTTCATAAACTTCATTTTGAGGAATGACTTTATATAACTCTAGTGAGTATCTCAAGAATTTAAGTGTAAAGGTTATGTCAAAAACTAATTAAAAATACCACAGAAGAGACACTGAATCTCTATATAACTATTGTGTGATTAAAGAAATTATAGTCCTTTTAAAAAGGCTTCCATCATAAAACACAGAATTATGAACTTCCTTCACTTTAACAAATAAAAAAAAATGAATGGTCTCATGGACTCCAGATATAATCTATCATCTGATTTCACATGACTCATTTCAGTTAACATTACACTCCCTCTCTAAATTAAGGACTATTATTAAATGCTACTATATAAGGTGATTTAAAAAGATGTGTGGTAACAAATGTTCAACCTAATTCTTTTTCTTAGCTAAATGACCACAAGGAAATGTTTTCCTTCTTGAGGCCGGTCACAAAACTTGTAACACAATTTAGCAGGAGTAAAAAGTAGCTAAGGAAAGATCCACATTTAATTTCAGAATTTTACTAACCCTAACTATGTATGGTTCTTCAGTAGCTCAGTGGTGAGCCTGATATTGTAACTCAGTGAGATTGCCTTGGTATGAGGCACCAGTTGAACTCCCTGTTAAATGGAACTCTTCTCCTTCACTCCATGTTTCCTGTGATTGGATCCCCGCTAGAGGAGCACATCCATACTGTTCTCCCATTCTTCTTCATTCCCGTGCACAAGAAAAGTTACACACTTGTGGGTAATGGAGATTGGTCCTAATTTCTCAACTGGACAAAACAGATCTACAAAAATACAGGGGATTTGCTTTCCTTTTTTATCTCTCCCTCTCTCTCCTTAATTGACATCTCTGAGTAAGGTAGCTGATCAGTAAATTTGGAAGACAGAGATAAACATTCCATCTCACATCCTTCCTTTCTTCTCAAGCCACTTTAACTATGACTTGTTCCATAATAAGAAGAGTGTGCTCTAAGCGGAAAATCCACAGTTCCCATGCAATATCAGAATCTCTATAAAAAGTACATCTAACCCAGGTGACACCTTAGGTAACTCATTTAGCTGTGCAGACCTGAGACACCTTCTTCCAACCACAAGGAAGGATTACTTTTTAAGTATTCATCTGAGTCTATCTTTAAATTGCTTCTAAAATTAGCAAAGAGTTTGTGATGGGTGATGGATGTGTGAACTTGAGTAAAAGAAACTCAACTAAATTGGTTCAGCAATTCCACACTCTAGGGTGTTAAAGATTCACCGTAGGGTGACCTTTTGCCAGCATGCTATAAAGGAGAAACGAATAAGGATGAACCTGCTTCTGTTTCTTTGGAGGAGCTCATCTTTGTCTTCCTTCATCTTGGGTGTCGTCTCCTGCCTTCCAGTGCAGACTCTTCAGCCCTTCATCACAGACCCCTCGGCCTCCTGACATGGACTCTCACAGAACATGGCAGTGAGCTTCAGACCTTTGACTGAATCTTTCAATCTCCATTGTGCAGATAGACCTCCTGCACTCTTCCACATCCAACTTTGTGGGTGGTTATTGTGATCCAATCTTGTAAATTCTTATATATTTGTACATCTTTTGTTATCTCTAGTAAATACTGACATACAGAGATATGCGAATTATCAATTTCTTAAAGTCCCAATCTATAGGTAAAAGAAATATTTTTAAGTATATTGATTGATGTTGAGAGAAAAAAACAGTTCTTACTGGAATAAAATCCCCAAATTACTAAAAGATCACCAAGAACATATTTAATGTACCATGTCAACTCAAATCAAGAACTCATTGGTCACCTACTGTAGGAAGCATCCTGAATCCATCTGGCAGTTGTGTGTGGCAGAAGAGAAAAGGCTATACAAGCACAATTAAGAAGCCCTGGGATGGGCAGACACAGAGCATGAATAAATTACATATTAAACAGTCTAGATAAATGACGTGATGGTGTAAAATGCTATCCACAGGCAAAGAAAAAAAAAATGAAGTAAACACCTGTGTCATAGCACAGAGAAAAATCAGGTCAAGATGGATAAAACATTATGAGCTATAAAATTAGAAGAAAATATAGAAACAAATCTTTGTGACCTTGGTCAAGGCAATGATTTCTTTCTCTTTTTTTAGGTGATAAAGTAGACAAAACTGAAAATTTACCAGTTTAAGCATTTTAAGTTTCACAGTTCAGTGACAAAATAGCAACATGTTATGTGACCATCATCTCCTTTGTCTGCTCATAGAACTTTTCCATCAGGCAGTGGTTGCTTCATATAACACACAAGCTACCAAATAGAAAAATCTATATATTAGACTTTGTAAAAATGTTTACATTTTCATGCATCAAAGAACATTACCAAGATGGCAAGATATAGCAAGATAGTGGGAAAAAATATTTCAAAATCATGCCTCTGATAAAAAAAATCTCTTTAGAATACATAAAAAACTATTGAAATGTATGAAGAAAAAATAGGGCTCCCTTCTGCAGCACATAATACAACTGGAACAGTGCAAAGAAGATTAACATGGCCCCTTGTGTGAGGATGACATGAAAATTCATAAAGCAGTCCATGTTTTTCCACTGGAAGAAAGATAACCTGTTCAATAAATGGTGCTGAAAATGCTGGCTTTCTACATGCCGAAGACAAAAGCTAGATCCATATCTACCACCATGTACAGAACTAAAATAAAAACAGATCAAAGATCCACATGATAAAACAGAAAAACTAAATCTTCTGGAATAGAGAACAGGTAGAACTTTTAAAGACATAGCTGTAGGCAAAGACTTAATGAACAAAACCCTGATTTCATGGGAACTACTACAAAGAATCAACAACTAGGATCTGATCTTACTAAAAAGCTTTTTGCATAGAGAAGTAAAACAAATCACTGAGTGAAAAAACAACCTACAGAGTATAAAAAATTTTGTCCGGCTGTTCCTTAGACAAAGGACTGATATCAAGACATATAAAGAATTGAAAAAAAATTGAATCCCCCAAATTAAAAAACCCAATCCAAAAATGGGCATCTGAGATAAATACGCACTTCTCAGATGTAGAAGTACAAACAGCAAATAAATATATGAAAAAAATGTTCATTTGAGAGATGGTCATTTGAGAGATGCAAATGAAAACAATGCTGAAATTCCATCTTGTTCCAGGAAGAATGGCTATTATTAAGAAATCAATCAATAACAAAGGCTGGTCGGGCTGTGGGGAAAAAGGAACACTTCTCTGCTGTTGGTGTGAGTGCAGACTGGTGCAACCACTGTAGAAATCAGATTCCTCAAAATCTAGGACTACAAATTCTATTAGACCCAGTTATTTCCCTTCTTGCTATCATCCCAAAAGCACTAAAAGTAACGTGCCACAAAAATATGTGCACTCATTTATAATAGCACCATTTGTAATAGCTAAATCTTGGCAACAACTCAAATGCCCATTAACATATGAATGGATAAAAAGCATATGAGTTTTTAAAAATATAATGGAGTACTAATCAGTCATAAAGAAGGATAAATTTGAGACATTTATAGCTAAATGGGTGGATGTTGAGACTATACTCTTAAACAAAACAAATCGGACATATGTATATAAATATGCCATTGTCTTTCTGATGTGAGAAACTGAAAGCATAAATAAGAACCAAAATGTATATTAGATATTATAAATTAGGAAGAAATTGTTCAAAAGGAAAGGGGAACTACAGAAAGGGGAGGGGAAAGGAAGGGAAAAGAAATAAATGAGAAAAGAAATATAAAATGGAAATAAAGCTTTCCCCCCCCTTTTTTTACATCGGGAATGAATGAAGGAGAAAAGAGGAGGAAATGAGAAAGAAAGAGGAATTAATATGTACCATGTACAGGTACAGATTCCCTATGATGAATGTGATCATTATGAATATATAGATGGCACCAATAAATGTAATTTAAAAAGAATAAAAATACAACACAATTTCTTTAATGATCAATAGACTTGAGACATTTTTCCAAGCAAGACATACAAAATGCAAATGCACACATGAAAATGACATTATCCATCAGAGAGGTATAGTTAACCCCATACTGCAATAGCTGCCACATCCACAATGTAATCACATCATATACTCAAAAGGAAAGACAATAGCAAATATTGCAAGGATCTAGAGGGGTTGAAACTTTCATATATTCCTACTGGGGATGTTAAAATATGTTGTCACTGTGCAAAAACAGTTTAGTAGCTCCTCGAAAAGACAAACAGAGAGAGTTATTATTTGATCCAGCAATTTCCCCCTTAAATCATGCACCTAGATAAACTGAAAACATGTGTTCACAGAAAAAAAATTTGTACGCCAATACTTGCCCCAGAATTATTTGTAACAGCTAAAAACTGAAACCAAACAAAATGTCAGTCAAGTGATGAATATATAAATAAAAATACAGTGCATCCATATAAAGGAATGTTATTTATTCATTAAAAATGAAATACAGATTCAGACTATGGTATGAACTAACATTTTGATAAGTCAAATATATCTGATGCAAAAAATGCACATTGTTTGATTTTGTTTGCATGAAGTGTCCAAAATAGAACAATACCTTGAGTCAGAAAGCAGATTGATAATGGCCAGGGATAGGAAATGGTAGAATGCAGATTAATTGTTAATAGCCACATGTCTTCTTTTAGAGGTTGTTAAAATGCTTTGGAGTTAGATAGTGATGACTAGTATACAAGTTTGTGACTATACACAAAAAAGCAACTTGTATGCTTTGAAAAGATGAGTATTATACACGTATATTTTATTTCAGTTTGAAAATTAATAAATGAATTAATTTTTGATGCTAAGGAAAACAAATCAGGAGAAAAATTAAGTAACATAAAATGAAATGAAAACAAATTTTGAATACCTACAGACCAGAGGAAAAGAAGAGCAGGAATTCAAACCAAACACATTGCAGTAATTATGCTAAGCTCATCATTAGCAACTGTTCATATTTGTGATTTGTTTTGATAATAGTTGTTTTCCTTTTCAAAGCAAAGGAAATTCTTTTGTAAATGAGTTACTCTGTACACATACATCAATATTTCCCAGGGCCCAGGGATGTAGCTCAGTGGCACAGTGCCTGCCTGGCAAGCGTGAGACCTTGAGTTTGATTCCTGGCACCAAAAAATATAAATATATAAAGCTTCCAATCTGCTTGTCTGCTTGTGTAAGCGATTATCATTTAGGCAATTTAAAATACATGTTGTCTTAAACAAAATTGGTACAATGCAAAATTACCAAGTATACAACAGAAAGTCCACTTCATATGGGGCATATGTTCACATATGGTCACTCTAGCTTTATCCCACCTTAAATAGTAGTTCACACACTGGAATTATATAGAGTGCTAGCCTTTACAAAGTACCTTTATACCCATCACCTAACTGAATTCTCATCACACTCTGTGAGGTGGGCAGAACTGGCGTCAGCACTCCCTTTCACAGTTGTAACAGTTAATCTTGTCAGCTAACTGTCTGTAGAGCCATCGGGAGAATTAGTAAAACACACTTTGGTGTGCGTATGTGTGGGTCACAGAGATGTGACCATGGGCCTGTATCTGGTTCCTGGTTCCTTCCTGTCTGGCACTGTTCCCAGTTTATCTGCATTTAACCACCATGAAATGAAAAGCTTTGTTTCAATACGCCTTTTCTCAACAATGTTCCTGCCTTGGAGCCAACCAACTGTGGACTAACCCCTTTGAAAGCATGTGCCTAACTAAACCTCTTCTCCTTTGAATTACAGGTGTTAAGTGTTTTGTACCAGCAGTGGGAAAGCTGACCAGTATGACAGGTTACGGGAAAAAACCCTAGAAAGGTTAAAGTGTTTTGTTTAACAGTCATACAGCTGAATAACAAAACCATGCCCGTAAGTTATGTCTTCTAAATCCTAGACTGGTATGTTTGGCAGGCTCCTTTCTCCAGCTGGACTGCATTTCCTAGGCAGAACCACCTCCACAACACACTTAGTAAACCATTTCCATATTAGTTGACCAAGAAACCACCATGACTAGGCTCACACAACACAAGTTGACCACATCACAGATGGTAGAGTTACTGAGGTCAAATTCCTTTACAATAACACACACACACACACACACACACACACACACACACACACACACACCACATGCACACTGGAAAGCCAGGGAAACTAGCACAGCAGTGGGGTTGTTGAGCAAGGGTTACTCTCAGATCCTCAAAATGACATTCTGTGTTTTATAACCATGAAAATGTTATGACAATCAAGCAACCTCAGAAATAGATGCAATAAAAAAGTACATTACGACAGTGATGGTGTATGGGGAGAAGTGTGGGAAAATCCAGCCATTAAATTACTCTAATGAATTCCACAAATGTCTTGAGATTTCTGGAAAGTTCATTTCTAAATCTAAATTGGTACTATTGATTGAATTCTTAGTTTTCACCCAGATAATGTAAGTTCATGTAAAATAAGTCAATATAAAAAGAAATTTATTTTCTCAAACAAATTCTAATATACATAAATGTATTTAAATGGTGTGTGCATGTACGTATGCATGTACACATGTGCTGAATATAACATATATGCACATATACATATACATATATGTATATAATAGAATTTTCTGGGACACACATATATTCAGTTTTTTGGTATAAAACTCTAAAGGATAATAGAAGAGTAGATTGATTAAACACTTTCTTTTCTGCTGTGCTTTTAGAGAACAAGAAGCAAAGATGATCTTTCCCAGCTAGGTGACACTTCTTGGAGTGACAGTGTTGATAACAGGAGCTGAATATTGTATTTTCTGTAAGTGTGGAGAAGGTTTACAATGGCCAGACTTTTGAAAGGCTTCATGGTTTACTAGAGATCACCAAATATTGGAGAATTGCTAATAGAAGTTGGGAGATTCTGTTTCTTAAAATGTTAAGAAACAGAAGCTCAGAGAAAGTAGAAGGCTAGCAGCAGAGGTAAAAAAAATATTCAGACATGTGTGCACAGTTAGTAGAAGAACAACTAAAAACACAGTTTGACTTTGAATTCTATGGAATAAAGCAGTAGAAATAAATGCTAATTTATACTAGTATATTATATAGTCTGTCAGATGGTTTCATGACAATAAAGTTAAAGTAGCAAATTTAAAGTCTATGAGTGTTTACATGGAACACAAAATTAGATATAAAATGTTTTAAATTTTGTGATTCTGTATATACATACCAAAATTTTAGAATATTGATCTCTGGCAATTCGTATTACTGGGATGGGGATATAGCTCAGCAGCATAAGTGCCTGCCTGGCAAGTGTGTAAGGTCCAGAGTTCAACACCCCCCCACACACACACACAAAAGACAGAGAGAGAGAGAGAGAGAGAGAGAGAGAGAGAGAGAGAGAGAGAGAGACAGAGCGAGAGACAGAGACAGAGAGAGAGAAAGTGAGAGAGAGAGAAATTTACATTACTGCTAATATTATTTTCTTTGAACGTTCTGATTTTTTATTATTTAATATTAAACACTTGTTACACTACGGATATGTAATTCATTTTGCTAAAGGAAAATAATTTAAACTAGTTTAATCTCA